GCACTACAGTAAACGCTACAGCTGCAGAACACAGCAGTACTGGCCCGTCTGACTACATTAGTTCAGCTGTTATGTTACCATAGCAACTGTAGCATCACCACAACAGATCAATCACTGTAGGTGTGTGTGTGCACATGTTCATGTTTCTCTCTCTCTCTCTCTGTGTGTGTGTGTGTGTGCTGCAGGTGTTTACAGTGGAGGAGATGATGCCCCATGTGTCTCACCTGAGCGGTGTCGTCACTAAAAACCTGTTCCTGAAGGATAAGAAGCGGCGTGTGTTCCTGGTGTGTGTGCGTCACGACCGGCCCCTGGCCCTGGGTGAGCTGTCCCGCCGGCTGGGGGCCCCGAATCTGCGCCTGGCGGAGGAGCGTCTGCTGCTGGAGAAGCTGAGGGTCCGGCAGGGCTGCGTGACCCCGCTGGCACTGTTCCTGGACACCGAGCGCAGCGTGACGGCGGTGCTGGACCGAGAGCTGACCCACGGCGGACACACACACATACACTGCCACCCCATGACCAACAGCGCCACCATGGGGATCACACCCGCCGACCTGCTGCGCTTCCTGGAGGAGACCCAGCACACACCCGTCATCCTGAGCTTCGACTGAGTGTGTGTGTGTGTGTGTGTGTGTGTGAAATAAAGCATCCGCAGTCAGACTGAACACATCACATTAATTTATGAAAAGAGGAATGATGCAGCTGGAGACGCTCACACTGGACTAACACAGCGCTCTTCACCATGATTTGGCACACACACACACACACACACACACACACACACACACACACACACACACACACGGCCTGTATTTTTTGGTCTTTCAGGGTTTTGGTGACGCATCTGCAGTGCCATGAGTCTCTCTCTCACACACACACACACACACACACACACACACACAGGTTGTGCTCGTGTCAGTGGTGTTCTGCTCCATCCAGAGGAATAATCCTTGATTCAAGGAAAGACGAGACGCTGCTGCGGTCAGAGGAGGAGTGGAGGACGGGACCCGCTGATGGAGAGACAGGAGACACAACAGGAGATTAGAGCTCAACACACACACACACACACACACTCAAACAATCTCAAACACATTCACAAATGGAGAGGTATAATTGTGTGTGTGTGTGTGTTTCCTTAGTAAACTTCAGCATTGTGCCTTGTTCAAACACTTACAGGAGTTTGTGTGTGTGCACTGTCCATCCTCAGAACTCACAAAAATAAAACAACCAATCAGCTGATGAGTGGGTGTGGTCAATGTTTGACTGGGTGTGGTCAGCTGATGAGTGGGTGTGGTCAGTTGAGCTCATTTAATCACCATGTATGACAAGCACTCACACACACACACCCTGCCCACTGGAGTGTAAGCATGTGTGTGTCGTCGCTGTTTCTTCTGTAATGTGGTGTAAATCAGCAGCAGGTGTTCTACAGTGATGACCGATACTCCTCATCATGGGTACTGCTTCAATCTCAGTGGGGGTTTCCTGTTCCTCTAGCCTGGTCACGGTTACCCGGCTGCTCTAGGCTCATTACAGGCCCTGTAGAATGTGAAGTCTGGCCATGATCTGATCTAAACACTAATATAAGAACACTACACAGTAACTACACTGAGGTACGATTACACACACACACACACACACCTGCGCTGGGGTTCTCCACCGTACTGGCGTATACGTAACCAGTACTTCATCTGACTGATCTCCAGCACACGGCGAGGGCAGAGCTCATCGAGGGGTCTGGAGCTGTGAGGGACGGGATCTACACCTCCAGTCACACTCATTATTCATTATTTACTCTTACATTACTCCATCACGAGTATTTGATCTCGTGCACCATAAACGTTCAATATTTGCTTCTGAAGCCTTGATTGATGATGGCAGAGGTCAGACGGCTCCTGTAGTTCTTCTCCAGGTATCTGGCCCACTCCTCCTCAGATCTCCTCTAGATCTGTCAGGTTTCAGCTTCCTCTAAAGGTTTTTCCTCTAATGCTCTGACTGAGGGAGGGAGGCTTTCGCTGATTCTGGACCATTCTAAGCTTCACTGATACCCCAGGAGGAGAGGTCTTCCATGGGGCCCAGTCTGAGGGACACTGGCGCTCATCATCAGCCTCCTCCATTCTCTGACAGCGGCTCCAACAGCTGATCTCTCTTCACCAAGCTGCTGGGCAATTCCCCCGAGCCCGTTCCAGCTTCGTGAAGCTCTGCAGTTTTCTCCTGTGCTTCCTGACAGCTCTTTGGTTTTGCCCATGTTGCTACTGAGACCTTTACTGATGGTGAGGTGCACACACACACACACACACACACACACACACACACACACACACACACACACACACACACACGCGGGCGTCTAGATGAGCTCAGACAGGAGCTGCTGATCATGAGCAGAGTAAAGCTGGAATAATTACAGCCTAAACAACAGGTCATTCATAAACAAACTGAATAAATCATACAGGGTGATTTCTGGAGTTACAGTGGAAATGCAGCTCTGCTGAACACTCCAGAACCTCCATGAGCTCTGAGTACATCCTGAAAAACCACAGCAGAGAAACACTCGCTGACCCAGCTGTGGTCACCTCTCACCTTTGAGGAGCCGCATCTCAAATCTAGCGTAATAAAGCGCAAACTGGGGCTATCAGTCATTCAGGGTGGGGCTATCATCAGTCAATCAGGGCGGGGCTATCAGTCATTCAGGGCGTGGCTATCAGTCAATCAGGGCGTGGCTATCAGTCATTCAGGGCGGGGCTATCAGTCAATCAGGGCGTGGCTATCAGTCAATCAGGGCGGGGCTATCAGTCAATCAGGGCAGGGCTATCAGTCAATCAGGGCAGGGCTATCAGTCATTCGGGGCGGGGTTCAGTCTTTTAGGGCGTGTGTGCTGCAGCAGAGGGAGCTGACGGTGATTCTGCTGGACAGGAAAATCCTCCACAACTGAGTGTAAAGTGCCAATCAAACCCTCCTCCCATCCACAATCATCCAATCAGATCCCGGAGGCTGAGATCATGCTCCGCCCTACACTTCATCATCTGCCTCCAGGAAACTCCAGTCTCCAGCAGGGTTGAGCTCCTGTGGCGGCGGCGCTCTACATCCAGCACTGAGCACACGTTAAATCAAACACACAGAGCTGGCGGAGTACAGGGAAGCCGTTTATTACAAATCATTAAAGATAGAGAAGAAGAAGAAGAGGAGGAGGAGGAGGAGGTGATTGTGTGTGTGGACGGCTTGTGTTGAGTAAACCATTTAATGCACCAGTCGGTTCATCACCAGACTACAATAATGCACTGCTCTCATGTAAACAAACACACACACACACGCACGCACGCACACACGCACACACACATGATTGAAGACACAAACATGCAGGAGAACAGAAACACACCCACACCGCTCGTGTCTTAATAAATAATCCTGGATGTTGATGCACAGCAATGTATTTTGCATTTTGAAAGGCCGGATTGTCTCATTGGCTGATCCTGATTGGTGAGTTTTGTGAACAGCATCATGGGTAATGTAGTGTTTTCTACATGAACTCCACTACTGAACAGAGGTTTTAAAATAAGTGAAGTGAAAATGAACAGATGACACACACGTACATGCACGCACGCAAGCGCACACACACACACACACACACACACACACACACACACACACACACACACACACACACACACACACACACACACACACACACACACACACACACACACACGCACACACACACACACACACACTTTAAGTAATGCAAATGCTCCATAGTCAGATGCTCCTCAGTCCAGGGCAGCTGTGAGTCTGCTGTAGTGCTGAGCGACTGAACAGACTCGTGTCCGGGTCAGGAGCTCAGTGGCCAGAGAGACGGCGCAGGCGCATGCTGAACGCTGTATTCATGATGTGTCCATGTTAAGCTGGAGATTGAGTCTGTACGTGTTTGTGACGGTGGTGATGATGTGACTGCTGGTTATTCCAGCAACACCAGCGAGGGTCACTCCAGCTTAGGGTTCCAGTTTGATGAGCAGGTAAAAGACTGGAGCTCAGTTCTGTAATCTAATGTTTACAGTGTAAGTGTGGTATTGGCTAATCTCTGTCCAGCATTAGTCAGATCTCCTCCAGATTGTCCACCGCTGCTGCTCATCCAAGCCGTCTGTGGATTTGATCAGATCAGACACAGCGGTGAACTGAGCTCTGTCTGCTGCAGATCTGGTGCGCTCCTAACACCGTAAGCCCCGGTCAGATCACTCGATGTGTGTTGTCGGTTTTGAAAGTCCGCATGTCAGATTATGCTAATCAAATCCCTTTTACTGTCGCAGCAGCAGCAGCAGCAGCACGTGTGCTATGACGAGGGAAAAGCTTAGAGCTACTGTGCTCACTGTCTTCAATAAATCTCGCCTTATTGTGGGTAACAGATGTGCCAGACTACACGTTTCCTCAGCATCAGTCATCCTGTGATGAGCGTTATTCCCCAAAGCACACACGAGTGCTGCTATAATAACCGTATTTCTCATCTCAATTTACTGTTTTCATCTTATTTCAATCTGATAAACACTGAAGCTTCAGACCGCTGATCACTACACTGAGCTCTTTCATTTCCACATGGATCAGACTCAAGACTCCTGTAAGATGAAGATATTTACTGTGAAATCTAAATCTGTGTTTAGCTGCAGGGTTACTTATTAAACAGCCCTGGGCTGAACTCATGGCGAGCGAGATGGAGAAAGTGAAAGCACATCAGCACTGAGGGAAGATCAGATGCTAAAATAATGACATTAACACATCAGCACATATGACAGAGATGAGGTGATGAATCGCAGTGGAGCTTCATTAAATCCTTATTTCCCTCAGAGCTGAACAGATCCTGCAATGACAGAGATGAGGTGATGAATCACAGTGGAGCTTCATTAAATCCTTATTTCCCTCAGAGCTGAACAGATCCTGCAGTGGAGGCGCATCAGTGCTGTGTTCATCGTGTGGAGCTGGTCAGTTTTGCTGTAATATTATCTTGATTGTAAGGCATGTGTTGATGCTCACTTTACACAAGAATAAAGAATAACATGAGCTGAAGCGCTCTGCCTAAACCCGCGGCGCGCTGAGATTGTGTTCAATAAGATAATAATAATGTAGCCTGAATCAGACGAGAGTGTCGTATCGAGAGTGTCGGAGCGCCGATATTAAACTGTTTCCACTGATAATGTCTCGCCTGAATCAGCAGGAGACGCTTCAGCAGAGGCCAGAGCCCTGAACATTCCCAGACCACCTCAGAGGAACACTGCTGGAGGATGAGGGAACTCAGACACTCGCTGTGGGATGGAGACGTCTGCATGTGTGTGTGTGTGTGTGAGATAACACTGCTGAAAACACCCTGATATTCTAGAGAAGCGAGTGAAGCTCTGCAGAACCCATGACTGATGCCCATCTGTCCTTTACGAACCCCCACGACACCCAACACCAACGAAATACTGCCGAAACCCTGTGATGTGAGCGGGGCTTCAGTGTGTGTGTGTGTGTGTGTGTGTGTGTGTGTGTCGCTCAGCCGTCTGCCTGTTTAATGAAGCGTCTGACATCAGTACTGAGCATCTTTACTCTGTGTGCAGATGTGGAGGAGCTCTCGAGTCTGCTGGAGTCCTGAAGATGCTCAATACTCCAGTCTCCAGTAAAACAGCTCAGGAACCACTGCGTGATTCGATAGTCAGCTCTGCTTAATGCTTCTGTGTGTGTGTGTGTGTGTGTGTGTGTGTGTGTGTGTGTGTGTGTGTGTGTGTGTGTGTGCGTAGAGAAGCACAGATCCAGCTGTTTATTATCCAACATGAGGCTCCTGCTGTGTGTCTGTCGGGTTTGTGGACAACAGACATTACTGAGAAGTGTACAAACGAGGATGATTACACACACACACACACACACACACACACACACACACACACACACACTCACCGCGTGAGCTCACGACAGACTCTGAGCGCCTCCTCTGCTTTTAGACTTCTTGTTTTCCACATCTGCAGAAGAAGAGCAGTGGAGTTCAGCAGAGGGAGGACACAGAGGACCCTGGAGACACCGACACACACCGGCACGGACACACACACACCAGCACGGATCCATGTGGCAGACACACACCGGCTCAGGACACACTCATTCTGAACAGTGGAGCAGCGGGTCAGCCATGCACACACACACACACACGATTAATAAACACAGTTGTGGCGCGGGGTGTGTTACAGGAGCGTGCGGTGTTCACACACACACACACACAGGTCATGCGGGAGCGTCACACACAGCCGTACTCGTACCACAGGCCGTCCTCTGCGCTCACACAGGCCTCGGGGTCGGCAGGACGCTCCTCTGAGCTGTCCGCACCGCCGCTAGCCGTACGCGGCGCGCCGCTAATGCTGCTAACCAGAGACGTGTTGAGCGACAGGATGGCCTGGTTTCTAGCGCCGCCCGTCACCGCTGGCTCACTAAAGATGGAGTCCAGAAAGATGGAGTCTACGGTGAAGGAGGGACCTAGAAACGCCCGCAGGCCGCTGTGCCGGGGCTCCTGGACGCCGCAGGGCATGCTGGCGGAGTGGTGCAGGGCGTCGGGGGTGCGGGGGCCGGGGCCGTACTCACTGGAGGAGCCGCTGCGGGGGGCCGGCGGGTCGACCAGCACCGGCTGCCGGCTGTCCCTGGAGAGCAGATCGTGGATGCTGGTCCTGCGCACGCTGCCCTCCGCCGTGGAGATCACACTGCTGGCCCGCGGCAGGCCAGACGAGTCCAGCGCCGACACCGAGGCCGCTCTCTGGGTCGCCGAGCCGGCCCGCGGGGGGGCGCAGCCTCTGGCCCGGGTGCTCTCTGTCTTCCGCAGGCTGGGCCGGCCCGCTCCGCTCCGGGATTCAGACGCTGCCGCTCGCCCGCTGGACGAACGCAGGATTCCCCGAGCCTTCACACGCTCTCTGGAGGACGGCGGCGCGGAGGGAGGATCCTGCACACACACACACACACACACGTGAAGGTCTGCGTTAGGGTCAGTGGCTGGGCCAATGGCTGCTCACTCTTCAGGATGTGCGCTT